GAGTAAATAAACACTTGTAGCTACATAAATACGAGTCACGAAAAAGGTGGGAAAAGATAAATACAATTAAATCCAATGTTGTATTATTGGTAATTTAATTTAAATTACGTTTACGTGTTGGTTACAATCTTAACTAAATCATTACTCTACAACATTTTCGCAACATTGTCTGTATAACAAAGAATATTGCTACAAGTTTAAAAAAAACTAATAGTAGAGTCCAACAAATAAAATATTAGCTAGTTAATTTACTATATTAAATAATGAATACTTTTGAGGAGTATAATTTTTTTGTTTTTTAAAAATGTTTGTCATGAAACAAAGATGTGTGCGATAATATTAATTGATGCCCTTTTAAAGCGGCTTGTGATCCACCTCCATTACAATAAAGTGCTTGCGTGAAAAATGAAGTAACGATAACACCATAGAGTTACAGATTAAAAAAAATTAACCAAACTTATTTAAGCAAAAAATTAAAAAAAAACACGTTCAATTAAACACTTATTTTAAAAATGCCTGTCTGAAGATGGTAAATCAAAATCTTTAATATTAAAATTTGTTTATAAATTTAAAAAAAAAATGTGTTTTTGTGGTTTGCGGTAAATTATATGTTTAAAGCCATTCGCGACAAGGCACATAATTTAGTTCACAATAAAACAGGTTTTTCAAAATTTATTATCAAGGAAAGGGGCAAAAATCTTGGTGATTCATCGATAAGTCTCGACGACTTTGCGATAAAAATTAGTGTTTTAATGGGAACTTTAAGAAGTAGAAGTAAACGACCTTATCAAATAAGAAAGATTATAAAAATTAGTAGTGAGTCTATAGATATAAATCATTAGTAAATAAATTATTTGCTCAATATTTTCAATAATAAAATCCAAATACATTTTTTTTGTTTTGAGCTGGATAGATTTTGATTTGCATACTGATTAAGTTAACACTTGTTTTCTGTCTGCTATCGATTTTCATGATTTATTAATGTCTATTGTCATTTAAATGTTGATTTTTGTTAATAAAAAATACAAATTTTGGAAAAACCAGTAACGTTTTAAGTTTGTATACGAATTAAAGCAAATTTAATATAGATAAAATCATAAATAAACCGTAATACCTTTTACATTTTTTTTTATTTTTCAATACTATTTCAAGTTATCTATGTTTGACAGTAGATATTACAATATTTTTAAGATTGATAAGATAAGATGTTTTGCGATACTTATTAACCAAATATTGCAGGGTGAACAAGTGTTATTTGCATATTGCTTTATTTATTTAGTTTATATTTACTTTTCTGTTGGTTTGTATGATTTATCGGGCAGTGTCCGATTTGTGATAAGTGCCAAGTCATTAATAAATAGTGTAGATAATGATTAAACGGAGTGGGAAATGGGAACAGCAAGCCATTTATCAATACTTTTTAGGTGGCCTTAACTTGAGGTTTTGATGTCTAGAGTAATCCTTTATATTTCCATAACATACCTTGATCCGAGGCTTTGGTGTCCTTGGTGGCAACCACTTGTGGCTCACTTTGTTGTCGTTGTTCGCCCGATGTCGAGGGACCGGCTAGTTCCCCTCCAATTTCGGATTTCGCCTCTGACATTTTTATTATTTACTCATAAATTTTGTGCAAAGTGCTTGGATTTTAAATACTTTATCGACTGTCATTGTCTTTTTTCCAAATGACAATACGAAAATGGGGCATACTGCGTTTATGCACCGGAACTTATAGTTTTGCAGCCCCGGAAAACTTTTGGGGAAATCACACTCTTATCTTTCTTAATAGCAAAACTGCAACAGATGTGGCACTCAATCACATATATGTATTATATATCTTATTTACGCAAATTGGCGAATTTCTAAATATCCATTGATGCATTCATCACGCAACAAAAACAACATACGACGCGTTGGCAGATAATTTCTAGAAAACTCGCTTAGTCACACACGTTATATAAGCAGTTGCAACAGGTAAAACCACATATGGTTTGTTTATTATACTTTTCGCTTTTGCAGGCGCAAAAATCACAGAATATTGTAAAATTATATTATTTTTTTGCGAACAATCAGCTGGGAAGCAGCCGTTTTGCAACACTGCCACCGCTATACAACACTTGTCGATTGCAAAATTATCGAAGTGGTACCGGCTGTTTTTCAAGCTAGCTATTTTCAAGCTAATTGCTAAAAATATTTTTTAAATCCATAATAATATCGACAAAGTTCAAAAATTTTTTAAATAAAGCTTGAACAACATAAAATATTGTAAAAAAATAACTTAATGCTAATGTTCAAACAACAACCGGTAACTAAACTTTTATTGAATTCATGTTGTAGATTTTATAAATGTATTGAACTAAATAGTTTAGCTTATAGTAGCTACTTTTAGCTAGTTTCTGTGCCCGCTAGTTTCCCACACTAAAGGTAACCTAACAGTGTTGGTTAACACCCCTTTAATTGCCGGCCAAACAAATGTTTTGTTTACATTAAATTTCAGAGAAATATATAAAAACTATACAAATCAATAAGGAATCATGTCCAGCAACGAGGAAAACGAGTTGTACATGGTCAAGGAGGCGCAAAGGCTTCGAAAATCAGATCCCTGTGCGGCTATGGCCTGGATAATCACGGCCAAAACTCTATACCCCAATGCTTTCAATCTGCAGTACGAGGCTTACCTATTGGAACGCGATGGTAAAAATTACGAGGAGGCGGCCAAATGTTTTAGTGTTATGTGAGTGAAAACTATACCTTATAGTTCTTATTATTAAACTTAGCATATTTCACCCTTTTAGAGCCACCAACTTTCCGAATCAACACACAGAACTGTGGCAGGAGATCAATGCCCTAACAAATGCCCTCAGAAATGAGAGTGAAAATACGCCGGAGCACGAGTTCTACGTGAAAATGTACAAACATCTAACGCCCGAAGTGCAGCACAATATATTCATGCACACCATCAATCACAGCGCCGATAATCTGGAGCGCGTCTATATCTACATACTGATGTTCAACAAGTTCCCTAAGTCGGCCCTAACTCAAGCCCCCAGATTGCTGGAAATGCTGGCTGAGGGCATGAAAACCGATCCGGATCTTTATCAGAGGATTCTTGTGGAAGAGGTACTGCCGATGATCCAAAATAAGCCACCGGAACTGTCCCCTAATCTCGCCTGTCGTCTATATACTAGTTCCCTAGAGTACTATTTGCGTCAAATCATGGATGAATCGGATACGGCGGATGCTTGGAAGAACATCTTCAAAGTCCTGATGATCTGTGGGCAAATGATGGGCTGGGAACCTTTTTTACCCTTTAGTAAGCACGTCAACCAGAATGTATACTGGGAAAAACTGGTGGATATACTTTCTGGAAGTCCTGCGGGCAGTTCCCAGGTTTTATTTTACGCCACCACCTTGTTTATTTACTCCCTGCATGGTTATATACGGAATTGCAAGTTGAGGATCGAGGATGCCGATGTTAGCCATGTTTTGGTAGAGGGATTCATGGAATGGTCACCGGAAAGCGATGGCTCTGAAGTGCCCAGCATGGAGCCCCCCAAATTCTCACTGACCACCGCTATAAGTCCGGAACTGTCCAAGGCCTTTTTGCACGCCGCCCAGTGCTGGCAGTTGCTCAATACGGATCAGTTTCAAAGGGATTTCAGTCAACTAATGCTAGCTCTTCCTCTGGCCCCCTGGATCTCCAGGTTCCTCTTCGATTTGGCCATATATTTCGGGCACCGGGATGAGGCCAACAAGCTAATGGCAGACATGACCACTCAGAGCAGCCTGGTGCAAAGTCTGCAGATCCTAAGTCTTAATCTGATGCAGGGGAGCATGACTGTGAGTTAACACCTGATATATACAAATTAACCATATTTAATAATTTTTTTTTACAGCTCCAGGGTTTTCAGTGCATTCTTAAGATCCTCTCCGAGTTGCCCGCCACCCAGGGTCAACTTTTGGAAAACATGTCGCTTAAGGGTCACCGCCACATGGTTTTCCTGCCCCTCACTCGATCTGCCTTGGTTCAGTATTGCGTGGGAGCCATCATCAGCAGACTGAGCCGGAAGGTTTACGAACCCAACTGCCCGGATCGATTGCTTGGGGATCTCCTGGTGCTTCAGCAACTGAATCTGCTTAACGATGTACTGCTTACCCAACAGATCTTTAACTTGATTAAGCAGCGCAAGTCGTTCAATCTCCGCATCCTATCCACCTATATAATTGCCATTGATTTGATTGAGGAGCTCTCGCACATTTGGAACTCGCAGCAAGAGGATAACTTTGAGTTGACCAGCTCACCCATTTCCAGTGGCACACCCACAGCGACAAGTGGAGCTGGTAGCTCCCAAACCCGAAGAATTGGAACCCGCGGAGCGGACAAAGGAGCCAGGGATGAATTTAAGGCCATAACTCGGCAGCAGATTGCCCGTTGCAATGAGAATGTGATCACTTTGCTGGCGAATTTCATCAGCCAGGAACATCTGATGCTGGCGCAACACATCTTTGGGATCAGCCAGCCCGTGGAGACGATTGTGATTAAGTGAGGAGTCTAAACGAGGTATACAAATAGTATTTAATAAGGGGTTTTTATATAATATACATATCTGCTTTAAGATTATTTTCCTTGAAAGATTGAAAAAGACTTTTCATAACGTTAAATAAATATTAGGGTAAATACCTACGTTTATTTCTTCATATATATTTTTCCTTTATTCGATCAAGAGATAAGTTCACACGTCTATGTTGACTTTAAATGTTTGCTTATCAATTAACTAAATATTTGGATTCGCAATTGATAAGTTAGTCTGATGTTACATTTTGATATGTGTTTGGTTGGTTCGAAACATTTTAAATTTAAAACACATTGTCTGTTGTATGTTCTTTTGAAGCGTATATTTTATCAAAATGTGAATGCAACGCCTTAAATTAAAAACTTTAAAAATACACCATTGTTATGATAAGACTAGTTTCTTGCCTTAGTAATTAAAACATAGACAGCGTTTAGGTTCACTTTTGTACTAAATACAAACATATATATTGTTATTAGGAGCCTCTTCATTTTACATAACACTCGTGTGCACAATGACTTGGTAATTTGGATTATTATCACATATCCCGAGGTGGTTGTCGTGTCTTAAACGGACTTCTGGGCTTCCGGGTTTGTCGTGGAACTCGGTGGTAGAATGGTCTTCTCAGAAGTCTCCACTAGTTCCCCATCCAGCGGCAAATGAATCCCAAAGTCGTGCTTCATGTAGGACATGAGTACATTATAAACGGCCGTGCACACATTGACGAACGTCACCCGGTATTTGGTGTCCAAATAGCGAAAGTTCAGGTACTGTGCCGCCGGCCATGTCATCCAATCCATCAGGTAGACATATGGGAACTTGGTGATGAGCTCTTGATTTGTGGCCTCCAGGGTTTGACGCTCCAGATAGCAAATGGAATAGAAGAAAATGAGGATGCAGGCGGGCGACATAAACAACTGGTCTATCAAGATCTTCTTGAGGATATTCTGGAAAGTGCGAGCTGGCATTATCCTATCCATCCAGTTGTAGACGTAGTGATGTAGAGGTCCTTGCAGGGCACCCGCCACAAACATCCTGTACATGCGATCCGTATCAAAGCGATCCTGGTGCCGCAGTCCCCTTCTGTACTCGTATTCCTGGGCAATCACATCGCCCACGACCATCAGAAGACCGGATCCCACCACGTTCGTTATGAGTAGATACTTCCCGAACATATTGCTCCAGGCCGTTTTCGTCCATCGCAGAAGGATAAAACTCAGGGCTCCACCCTCCGCCTCACCCTTGCCATGGGTTAAACGGAGACCGAATTTTTGTGGACCTATTGGGTGGGTTTTCATCCGACCCAGGCCCGTGAAATCTCTCCGGGAGTTGTGGGACACATGGATCTTCTGGGCGAAAGGACCTGCCGGATTCCGGAGACCGTAGCACTGGCGCAGGCAGCGAATGCTGAACATCATTCGCAGCCACTGCAATTTGGGACTACTGTAGTCCCGTGTGTTTTGATTTGACGTTACGAAAGACCCGATTGTTTTGACGTTAGACTAGCAGCTGATTGGGGGTGGCACCTTTTCGACTGACCACTTTTCTATAGAATATCTGCATTTGGGAAAATCGATAGCTGAATGTGTGTTACTATTTGAAAATGTTTTTTTTTTACTTTATTCCTTATCTATTTAAAAATGTCTTTTTGTAAATATGTTGCTTAATAACTTGAAATTACATCTCAGAAAAAAATACCTGTGAGAAATAGTTTTTGAAAAAGAATAAGTAAAGTTAAAATTTTTTTTTTAAATAATAAAACAATTTAACTTTACTTTTTATAGAGTTAACAACTTGTTCCATTGTATTAACATTTTAAAATTTAGGAATTATATTATTATTATAATATAATTATATATTTTCAAAAATATCTACATTTTTTACTCGATTTTTAGTATCTGTATATGTTTATAGAAACTTTCAGGAGGAAAACCATTTGCTTGAGTAAAAACTATTATTTATATTTTGGAATAGCTGTGCTTTATATATGAGAGAAGTACGACGTACAAGCAACTGGCCAGATTGATAAAAACCACGCGATAGATGAACTTGAAATAGCGAAAGTTCAGGAACTGCAGTCCCGGCCAAATGCAACAGTCCAACATCCATGTGAAAAGGAACTTTTCGGAGAGCTCAGCATTGCATTCCATGATAGTTTTACCCTCCAGGAGACTGCTGAGGTAAAAGACCAAGAAGATGTAGATGGGCGACATGATCAGCTGATCGGCGAGGATCTTATGAAGGATACCCCATCGATTGGTGCCTGGTAAAACCCTATCCAACAGCAGATAGAAACTGTGCTGGACAGGTCCTATCACCAAACCCGTAACCATCATGCTTCCTGAGCGGGAATAGTCAAAGGCCTTTTTTTCGCCCAATCTTTCGTATTTCTGAGCACCCGCATCTCCGATGGCGAGAAGTATTCCCGATCCCACGGTATTTGTTACTATTAAGTATTTCCCGAACACTTGCGACCGGAATCTTGTGCTCGAGGGAATTTGGGAATTAGTAGAGTAAAAGCTAACGGCCTGATATCCCATCCTTAGAAGATTGGACAAGCGAGTCCTATAAAACATCGTTGTCCCACCTGATCTGACACCTCAATGGAAACCGGATGCCTTCTGGTTCACTTTTAAATGTGCGATTCGAGTTCAAAACATATATTTCCTATCATTTTGACATAAGAGGACCAGGTATATCGATCGACTTTACGATTTTGGATAATAGGTTCATTTATAAAAGACATGAATTAAACATTTTATTTAGTGTTTTACAGATATCCTTAATGCAGTTTCATTTTCCAACGCAATTCGATGGCGGGTTGCAGTCTGGAGGCTTGTTTGCTACCATTGCGATTACTTAGAATTGGCCAAGAATTATTTTAATTTTGTTTGCGCTTACTTTACAAAATAAACTTACCTAAAATCAAGAACAAGTTTCCAACGGCCATTATACTTGCTTTCGGAAGTAGTTGTTCCTGCTTAAAACAAAGCTTTTATAGAAAAAGAAATACCGTAAAAGGTTGCATTAAGAATACGTAACAAATCGATTTTATAAATAAAATAATTACCAAATGACAGTAACATGTCAGATGTCTGAATATCGGAAAAATTTTCTAAGGCAGAATAACCTAATTTTCATAATTGTAATTGATGTTTTCTAGCATTGCTTAATTTAAATTACAAACATACCTTTTCAGCTTAAATAAATTTGGTAAAAGTCGTCAATATTTTATAATCTTGAAAACTTATTACTCACAAGAGAGAAAGCTTGTACAGCCGTTTGATAATTATTAAATTTAATTTAATTTGTAATTCGGAAATTTAGTAAAAGAAAATATGTTGAAAAACAACGAAGCTATAATCTTATCTTTTGGTTTTCATAATCATTTTCAGATCGTTCCTATGGCGGCTATATGGTACATTCGTTTTATTTTTATAAAATGAAGTTCTGAAATCCTAACAGTTGGATAATTATTGGATAAGGCTTCTATTATATTTGTATGAATTTAATTGAATAATGGTTATAGAATATTAATGAATGGTTTTGAGTGTCAGCCTGTCTGTTAAAGTCCTATGAACAAATATTTTGTAACTAAGTATGATATGCCAAAATTTATTCTGAAGTTCCCATAACAGTTTCATGTTCTTGTTTTAATTGGATGTTATAGGCGTACATTTTTCATGATGAAAACAGAAGTGCACATTACGGAACAAAAAACTCTATTTGTTTTTATAAAAACATCAAAGACGGTGATTCTTTGGGATAGGGATGCAATCAGGTCCCCCATTCAAACGGCATGATGATGTCATCATGATCACTAAGACTCTAAAAACAAGTATTTAAATTTGCTTGCAGTAATTATTAGAAAAAACTTTTACCTAAAATGCAGAAGAAGCTAGGAACGACCATGTTTTCTAAGGGTTGATATGTTTGCTACTTAACACAAAGCCTTATATAGAAAATTCCATACTGGTAAATGTTCCACTAAATATGCCTATCCAATCAATTTTATATCGAATTAAATAAATATTTCAAAATATTGAAATTTTAACAAGGCTATATGTTAAGTAATTGAGCAACACTTTTTGTATTTCTTTGTTATATAAATTATGAATTTAATAAAATTGTATTGACGAAGAATAAAAGTTATTATAATTTAAAGAATTATGTATATTCAACTTTTTCCCAAATAAGAAATATAAAAACGAAAGCTAAAAATATGACCTTTCAAAACTCGCACATTTTACAGCCCTGATTGATGTCAATCGATAACCTTGGGATTTTTGAAAAAGACAAGCTGCGGTCACTCTGCTCTGCCTATCGTTTTTTCGGTTTTGCTTTGCTCCGCTTTTCGCGTTATTTTTAGCCGCCTTTTTTCGCCGTAAATCTTTTTTTTCGTGGCTAAGAATTTCGGAATTTCTACAAAATCCGACCGGTTGGTAAATCACCAACACACGCAACTATTTAAGGTTAGGACCGGCGCAAAAAAATGACTGAAACCTTGTGTCAAAATAGTTTTTTTTTCCAGGTGACATCAACGCCATCCGGTTTTCCGGGTGATTAATTTTTGGGAATCTTGAGACCCACGCAGCGTTATTGAAATGAGGCTGCTCTACGCGTTTCTTCTGATTTTGGCCGTACGTTTGGCGTCCGTTTTCGTGGTCCAAACTTATTACGTTCCGGATGAGTATTGGCAGAGTCTGGAGGTGGCCCATAAACTGACCTTTGGGTGAGTTCCAATTCGAGGACTGCGGTCCAATTCCTGGTCTTTATCTTTATAGATTTGGTTCGATATCGATGAGAAGTTCATATTTCTTTACTTAGACACTTGCTTTTTGCCTCTTAAATGGTTTTGGTGATTCTTTTCATTCATGAACAGGCATTAATATTGATATCCATAGAACATAGGGTCTTTAAAGGCGTCTTTAATACAATTATCACAGAAAACAACAAAGATGGTTACAATCTATGCTATATTTCTATTGATGGCTCTACTAAAACTAATTAGTTTGAAATAATCCCTTCTAATAAGTACAAAATATAGTCATAGATACATTTTTTCAAACAAGCTTAGTAAATTCTAAAACAATCTTGCCCATTAGGACGAGAAATTAGTATACGATCTTTAAAATTATAAAACTCATGAATGAAAATCGAACCAATTCATTAAAAGAAACCAACAACTTATATTTCTAGTATCTCCTTGACCTAACCCACATTTTTACTATTTTCAGCTATGGCTACCTGACTTGGGAGTGGGTTCAGGGCATTCGCAGCTATGTGTATCCCCTGCTGATTGCCGGACTGTACAAAATCCTGGCCCTCCTGCAACTGGATAGTGCTCAACTTCTTGTAGTGCTGCCCAGAGTTCTACAAGCCTTACTATCAGCCTACTCCGATTATCGCTTCTTTGTGTGGACTGGCAAGCGAAAGTGGGCTCTGTTTTTGATCCTGGTTCCTTGGTTCTGGTTCTACACAGGCTCTCGAACTCTGGCCAATACTTTGGAGGCCTCTCTGACCACAATTGCCTTGAGCTACTTCCCGTGGTATACAGAATCCACTGGCTATCTGTGGCCAGCTGCAATCTGCTGCTTCCTGAGACCCACTGCGGCGGTAATTTGGCTTCCATTATCCCTACACCATCTGCGCAAGAGTCGCCAGAATGTGCTGGAGCTGATCCTCAAGCGATTTGTGCTTATTGGGTGAGATTATAGCTTATAAAGTGCATTAAAACAACGGTATTTTAATAAGACCCCTCTTAATATTTCAGTTTACTTGTTGCTGGACTCGGAATTGCAATCGATACCTACTGGCATGGTCAGTTAATAGTGAGCCCGTACGAGTTCCTCAAGTACAACATTTTCAACAACATCGGCAGCTTCTACGGCTCACATCCTTGGCACTGGTACTTCACCGTGGGATTGCCCACAGTTCTGGGAATCAATACCTTGCCCTTCATCTTTGGCATAATCGAAACTGTGAGGAAGTCGAGCAAGTATCCAGTTAGCAAACAGCTCTTGATTACCATATTTTTGACTCTGGTGGTTCTGAGTGCCGTGGAACACAAGGAGTTTCGCTTCGTGTCCTCGCTGCTGCCCCTCTGTTTGTATGTCATCACGGATGTTTTGTCCCGCTGGAGTTACAGAGCCTCGCGCACCATGTTGTGGACCACGGCCTTGGTGATCCTGGTGGGAAATGTACTGCCCGCCTGGTATTTGAGCACAGTCCACCAGAAGGGACCCATTGAGCTGATGCCCAAGTTGAGGGAGATTGCCCAGGAATACCGTGATGAACGCGAACATCAGGCGAATATTCTCTTCCTGATGCCGTGCCACTCTACTCCGTATTATAGGTGAGGGGTTCTTGACTTAAATACTCATAAATACTCAGTTGCTTACAATTGTATTGTCCTTAGCCACATCCACCAGAATGTCACCATGAGATTCTTAACCTGTGAACCAAATCTGGAGAAGAAGGAGCAGTATAAGGACGAGGCCGATCGCTTCTTTGAGGA